CTGGAATTGTGTGCCACGAGAAGAGGGAACTGTAAGGGGAACTTACTGCACATTGCAGCAATGTGCAATAATTTCCTCAAGGAAATTCTGTTTGCATTGTAGCAGGGAATGACCAAGCCGCAGGTCACTACAGAAGTGAAGAACATTTGAGGTCACAACTAGCCACAGACAGGCTTGCACTTATACCTTGGAAGAAGCCCTTTTACAAAACCTGATGTTTTATTAGGATCAGTGATAGAAATGTACTCCTCTGCGTTCTTCTCTGGGCAAATAATGTTCCCATCAAGAAATAACCCATATAAAAGGCAATGTTCCTTCTGTTAATTTGGTTTATTGTTTTGTTGTTGTTGTTGTTGTTGTTTGTGGGTTTTTTGCTTGTTTTGTTTTGTTTAGTTTTTAACATGGTACATCTGTTGTTTATTCCACCCTTGCTTTAGACTATCGTGACTTGGACTACTCATAAAAAACTGGCTGTTCCCTCACGTGATGGTTGACTAGCTGCTCATTTACGAGGGCATTATAGCCAATAATTTTGCTTTTAAGGAAACACAGTCCTTGTAGTGCCCTGCTTTTATGCCACAGCTAATGTGAAAAAAACAAACAAACCCACAGAATTCCAGCAATTTTTAACCACGCCTGGACAGAAGTGTTTGCAATGGTGAGTAACACCGCTCACACCAACCTCATAAACCTGCTAATGTCATCAGAGAAGCAATTTTTTGTACAGCATAACCAACAAATAGTGTTGTTGTTTTTTTCCTAATGAAGCTCAGACCAAACCGCCGTGTTGACTATCAGCCTGCAGTCACTGAACTAGCTGCTCCATAAATACGCGGGAGGACAGTGATGAATGAAGTTGAAACAAAGGCGCTGTCTTTGTGTCAGGACAGAGGTTCATTGACAGTGAGTCAGTGCCCACAGCTGCATGTGGGATGTTGATTAGCTAATTATATGATGGTTGTTACACGAATTTATAGACACTTGAAGGCTGCAGCCTACATATAATTGTTCTTTCTGTTTTGTTCTGGGAGAAACGCAGCTAGAGAAACGTCTGCAACTAAACAAAAAACTTCTATTAACATTTGTCATATGCCCGATACGATATTATTAACTGCACAAAGAAATGGCTTTGTTAGGGTATCTTAGGGTTTAATTTCCATGTTAAGACTCCAACTTGAGTTTGTCACCCTCAGATTATACACAAGCAGCCGAGTTTTCAAGTTCTGCTCACTGGGGATGACTCACGTTATTATATACTAACCACCAACACACTTTGCTTTACCCCTTTGTTTTACACGCCTGAAGTGTTCTGGCTGGGGTTCCTCTTGTCACCAGTCCATACTTTTTTGCATACTGCTTATTGTACCATGTAATCACTCCCTGTACTTCTCCTTTTAACTTTTAATGAGATCCTGTGCTGGGACTTGGGCAATTCCACAAACCCATGCTGCACAATCCTGCAGGCACCGTGTCACTGCGGTCCTGGGATCTCCGAGGAGGCATCGTGCAACCCGCAGGCTTCGGCGGAGATTCCTGACAATTCACCCAACTACGGCTGAAGACAGCCAACAAAGCCAAGAGCTCAGTCTGATAAACTGCAGCCCGTGTCAAAAGATTTTTGGAACTATTGAGCATAAAGTTGGCATCAGGGACCAAACAATGCATGTCACTAAATCCCTTTATGGAGACACGGGAGATTAAGGTTTAGGTTATGACCGGGCAAGTTCCTTTTCTCTGTATCAATCGGAGAAAGCCTGAAAGGTGAATAAAAATCCAGAAAGTCACCAGTGAAGCAGAGGGTGAGCAGTGCTGGGGATAATACATCTTGTTCAGCAGCAGAGGAAACTGGTTGTTTCTGTGATTCTCTACCGCTGCCTTCTGAGATTGTGTCAGCAGCCAGCTCAGATTTTGGTCTGTTGTGAACAGGGAGGAAAACAAAATGCCCCGGTATTCGCTAGTAACCTATCCGAAGTTTCCTGCTAGAGAGGCCCACGACACAGCCTTTGTGAGACACGCAGGTTGTCAGATTTCAGAAATGTCACAGTTTAATGCAGAAAGCAGGGAAGAGCAGGTGAAATCATTCCTGTCATTTACGTAATGATGCTGAGTGCTTCCAGAGTCTGCTGTCTTTGCTTAGGAAAGAGATAAAAATAGCTGTCATTAATCTCACAGACACCTGAGCACTTCTTTCCAGAAATAACCATTAAGCATAACGTTTCGGGCATTAATCAAAGCTTGCTGAGGTCTAACACTTTTTAGGAAAAGGAAATCCAAGACATTATGGCTATAAAGCAATGCAAACGTAAAGGGGCATTTAACCTTCATTCTAAGCAGGTAACTTTGTGAAAAATATGCTTGGGGGTAGTTTCTCAACTAGTGTACATTCCTATTGCTTCCACTGGTTTTAGCAAAGCTGCAGCAAGTTTTACCATCTCAGAAGTTGGTCTCGGCTCTCTGAAAGAAGCCTGGAAGAAAAAAAAAATTAAAAAAAAGTTAGAAAAAAGATACTGCAGAAAGCAGCAAAGGAGACATACCCAGGAGGAAAGGAAAACACGGGATAAAAAATGCTTAAAAGGTTCTTGCAGGAAAGATAACTAGCAAATGTCTGCAGCACGAGGGAACGTGAACTCTGCCCAGATGGGTAGGACTTAGGGAAAAAAAAAATAATACAGAAAGATATCTTTTTGATTAAAGCAGAAATGTAGCACAAGCAAGGATGAATTAGTATTTGTTTCCCTCAGGTCAACTACAAAAGAAATTTCTTACAAAGATGGGTCATTTTATCTCAGATCTGCAGTCCTGTTGATAAATCTTGAAGTGATTTAAGAAGAAAATTTCCCAGGGAATGAGCTCTAGCCCTCATTTAGAGTTGCTGAAGGTATTGCTTAGTGTTCCAGGAATATACATAAATCGCTTGTGTCAATTCAAAACGTGTACACGGTTGCCATGAAGGGAAGTGTTAGGTCTGCATGTGATTTCCTGGAACAAATCAAATGTTTCTGTGGAGGAACTCATAAGTGCTGACAATATAGTAGGGCTGTCTTCTCTGAAAATAGTTAACCTGAACGTTCAGTGCGGGTCCACTGGGTCAGGAAAAAAGTGAAGGAAAGGAAATGGATGGTGTAATGCAAACCACAGTTCTGTACTGCCATGTGGGCAACTCATGAGGCTAAGAAACAAGCAAAACTCCAGCTGCACTAACACGAGAACGCTTGGTGAAGCAGGAAGAAGGAAAAGGGATATTCTGTCAGGATGAAAACCAGCAGCTCTGAATTAACTGGCACAACCACATTTTGCTGGTGTGTGTGGCAGAACGCTGGTGTGCTCCATTTCATGATGACAAAACCAAACTGGCAGCATGTGTGCAAAAGGCAGCTCCTCAGTCACCTCTTAATCAACATTATAGCCACTTCAGAAACGATGAATGGAAAAGGTGTGAGGCTTCTGGAATGAAAGAAATTTTCTATTTATTGACATTTCAACTTACTTGAAGTTGGAGGAAGAACGCCAGAAGTAAACCTATACTGTAAAACAAAATGAACATAGTCATGCATACTCAAAATGCAAATTAATGGGGGCTTCTGAAATAGCTAAAAAAATGTTACCAATCTTACTTGTTCAACATCTTTCAAAATCTGACAGAAGAATAGAGATAATTTTAGCATATGAGAGTAAAACCAAAACTGTTTCAGTGCACTGTGGTGAAACTGAACATGAAGACGTACAGCGCCGTGCACAGAGTCCACCTGCGTGGCAGCCCAGCTGTAAGGACTACAAGGCAGAACTGGTCTGATGCCACACTAGTCAGTATTCAGATAATAATATTTGTCTTCTCTATGACTTCTAGCAGTGGCACTATGAGTTCATCCACCTCAAAGACAGTACAGAACCTACTCCAAAGGCACGTTACTCAGCAGGCTCCATGGTCGTAGGGCTCTGAATACCAGCTGGGACAAATGGAAGATCAAAAGGGATAGCCACACACTAGATGAATTTTTCACTTTATCATACAGAATGGACGTCCTTCTTTTCATATGATTTATTGACAATTGTTACATTGAACGCATCAATGAAACACAACTCGGTTGAACTGGGACCAAGGGCTATGATGCTGGTGAAGGGCCTGGAGCACAAGTCCTGTGAGGAGCAGCTGAGGGCACTGGGGGTGTTTGGGCTGGGGAAGAGGAGACTCAGGGGAGACCTCATTGCTCTCTGCAACTACCCGGAAGGAAGGTGTGAGGAGCTGGGGGTCGGCCTCTTCTCACAGGTAACTGGTGACAGGACCAGAGGGAATGGCCGCAAGTTGTGCCAGGGGAGGTTCAGGTTGGAAATGAGGAGACATTTCTGCTCAGAAAGAGCAGTCAGGCACTGGGACGGGTTGCCCAGGGAGGTGGTGGAGTCACCGTCCCTGGGGGTGTTCAAGGAGAGGTTGGACGTGGTGCTTGGGGACACGGCTTAGTGGTGACACTGGTGGTAGGGGGGTGGTTGGACCGGATGATCTTGGAGGGCTTTTCCAACCTTAATGATTCTAGGATTCTGTATTTCATTTATTTTCATTTATTTTATCATTCTGTAAGGATCCTGTGATTTCTGTCATTCTGCATTTCCTTTATTTTATCATTCCGTAACCATCCCGTGACTGCGCCCCTCAGCGCTGAGGTAACGCTCCCCCCCCATCCCCCCCCCCCCCCACACTCCATGAGGTAACTCCTGCCGCGCGCGCTCCCGCGGCGGGGCGGGGCGGGGCCGCTGAGGGAGGGAGGGCGGGACGAGCGGCGCGGCCGCGCGCGGGGCGGGTGGTGTGTCCCTACGTCATATCAGCCGCCCGCCCGCCATTGGCTGCGCCCGCCTCACCCGACGCCGCCGGGCTGAGCGCGCGACTCCCGCGCTCGGCGAGCTCGCGCCGCGGCCACGCCCCCTCCCCCTTTTAGCCACGCCCCCTCGGCCCCTGTGGCCACTCCCCTCCCGCCGCGGGGGCGGGCGAGGGGCGGCTGCGGAGGGGCCCGGCGCTGCCCCCGGCCGCCGGTAGGTCGGCGGCGCCTGACGTGACCGCGGCGGCCGGCGGTTATAAACCCCAGCGCCGGCAGCGGGACGGCGGCGGGGTGGGTGCTGTGTTTGTCCCGTCCCTCGCGGGTTGAGCAGCGGCGGGGGGCCTGAGGTGAGGTGGAGAGCGGCGGTGGGTCGGGGCCTGACAGGAATTGGGGGGGGTTGTGACAGGAACTGGGGGGTCCCGGGGCCGGTTGTGACAGGAATTGGGGGTTTGGAGGCTCAGAGACGCGGGTTCTGACAGGAATGGGAGGCCCCCGGCGCTGACAGGAGCTCCCTGAGCCTGGGTCTGATGGGAATGGGAGCCCCCAGCCCCAATAGGAGCCCCCGCGGCCAGATCCTGATGGGAATGGGAGCCCCCGGCCCTGACAGGACCCCTCTGGGCCTCATCCTGGCAGGAACGGGAGCCCACAGCCCCAATGGGAGCCCCCTGGGTTCAACCCTGACAAGAATGGGACCCCCCTACGCCCCCCGGCCTGATCCTGACAGGAATGGGAGCCCTCAGTCCTGACAGGAGCCCCTCAGCCCCAATTGAAGCACCCAGGCTAGACTCTGACAGGAATGGGAGCCCCCCGGCCCCAATAGGAGCACCCTGGGCCAAATCCTGACAGGAATGGGAGCCCCCTGTGCCCTGACAGGAATGGGAGCCTGCCGGGCCTCATCCTGGGTCCTGACAAGATCCCCTCGGCCCTAACTGGACCCCCCCCAGCTCCCATGCTGACAGGAACGGGAGCCCCCAGCCCACTGGAGTCGGGGTCTTCGTCCTCCTGCCGGTCCCCTCCTGCTGCATCTCCTCATGTCTCGCCTTCAGGCTTGCTATAACCGGTTGTTTTTCCCGCTCGCATTGCAGGGCTGCCGGTGAGGCCGATGCCCCGGCTGGAGAGCTGCACCTGGAGCTGTTCGTGCGCAGCCAGGGGGAGGCACAAAACGCAGCAGGGCGACACGGCCACCAAGGCGGGCGAGATGCTGAGCTCTGGAGGCCCCTCGCAGGTGTCAGCAGGACACGGGGCGCGGAGCCCCGGCGGTGCGGGCAGCACCCTGAACTGGAGCCGGCACCTGGTGCAGCGCAGCGTGGTCCTCTTCGTGGTGGGCGCTTTCATGGCGCTGGTGCTGAACTTGCTGCAGGTGCAGAGGAACGTGACGCTGTTCCCCGAGGAGGTCATCGCCACGCTCTTCTCCTCCGCCTGGTGGGTGCCCCCGTGCTGCGGGACGGCGGCAGGTGAGCGGCGGGCGGCGGGGCTGACCTCGTTTTGTGTGTTTTTACCTGGATTTTAACTGTTTGGGGGTTATTTTGGTGGGGGGGTGTGCGCCTCCTTTACGCCAATGGGGAAGGAAAGCAGCGCAGCTCGCCGTGCCCCAACCTCGTGGCCGCTCCCCACGCCACGAAACCGCCTTGATTTGGGTATTTTGGGGTTTATTTCCCCCCACACGCACACCCCGGAGAGCAGCAGCAGGCGCGGTGCAGCCCCGCGGCGCGTTCCCGCGGCGGCGACAGCGGCGCGCGCGCTCCCGCTCGGCCCCGCCCCCCTCGGGCCGCCATTGGCTGCCGCCGAACTGGTGAGTGGCGGGCGGCGCTCGCCATTGGCTGAGGGCGCGAACAGGCCAGGGGCGGGGCCCAAAACAAGGAAGTCACGTGCGGAGGGGGAGCCGCGGCCCCGGGGCGCCGGGCACGGAGCGGGCCGGCGGCGTTGTTGTGCCCGGCCGCCTGCTGGCACTGCGGGCAAACCCAAACCCAAACCCCGCCGTGATGATGCCCTCCCAGGGGTTGGAGGGCTGGCAGGTCGGGTCAAGGGGAGCAACGCCGTTGTGAGCGCGGTTTGTGTTGAAAGTGCTTTCACAGCGCTTTTTCTGCCTGTTTTTAAGTACAGTGGTGCTGGCTTGTGGTGCTGAGCAAGAGGGTCTGATTAATCGAACTCACGTGAGTGATAAGCTCCATGCTAAGTGCTACGAGGTAGCCTCATTACAGCCTTCTGATAGTCCAGTTATGCTTGGATTAATCTCTGGCATGTAGCTGTTATCTTAAGGTAAAAGTCCTGCTAGCTGGCACCAAGAAGTGAGGCTTTCAGCACCAGATCCATTGACTTACAGCAGTAGCTCCTGTAAACCTCTTCACATAGAATTGACTTCTCTTAGGAGTTTAAGAAGGAAAAAAAAATAAAGTAGGGAAGAAAACAAACATCCCAAACAGTTAAAGCTCACTGTCTAATCAGCATTTGTTCTAATACATGGAATTGCAAGCCTTAAAAGAATTAAACAAGTACCCAGCAACTGAGCACAGACAAACATTTTTCCTTCTGCAACCATTTCTCATAAGGCTGAGAAAATGCGATATGCAAGCAAAGCTCTGCCTGACTAACAGCGTGAGTAGATACTTTTCACTGACACATGACTGATGGCAGTTGTTTCCTTAAGTTCTGCCCTGCTTCTATTTGATATCCAAATTCATTTAATTTGGATGGGAGCATAGGCTGCATTACAGTCCAGAAGAAGGAGGGAAATCAGCTCTGCCAAGGAACTTCTTAGTCCAAGCAAATAGTAATTCAGGGCCTGATTCACAAGCAATAAATCAAGTTTGTAAAAGGAGCTGTCCTGCATATGAGCAATAAAGGTATGCTCCATTCCTCACTATAATTAAGCTTTTTGTTATTTACTGGTACAAAGCAAGCATCTACTCAGGCTGGGAAATGATACTTCCTCATGGGGGTTAAGAAAGAGCTTGAAGTCAGATGTGTGTTTGCTATAAAGGTCCAAACAGAATGTTGCTTGAAAAAGTCTGGTGGTTATTCTTCATTTCTAAAGTTTGGGGAGGTTGGACGGGAATGCTAATGACTGTTTTCTTTATCAGGCCTGCAGCAGCATGGTAGGCACATCACTACTAGAAGGTTTTATCAAGCACTTAATTGCTAAACTAATATTTAATAGTAATGAAATAATCGTGATGTAACGGTTAGTATAAGTGGTCTTGTTTCTCTTGCAGCTGTTGTTGGCCTGCTGTACCCCTGCATTGACAGCCACCTGGGGGAACCACACAAGTTCAAAAGAGAGTGGGCCAGCGTCATGCGATGCATAGCAGTTTTCGTTGGCATTAATCATGCAAGTGCTGTATCCTTCAACTGGTTGATGTTGTTGCTTGCTGTACTTAGTGTATTGCCATGAAACAGGCTCTTCCACTCATGCCTGGGAGAATTACAAAGGTAATGAGAATGCCATTGGCAGAGGCAGACTCCTGAGACCTGCAGTACAGTGCAATATCTGCTTTAAGATAGATGACGTAGTTACCTTAAAAGTAGTTATGGGGTTCTGGGATGGAGAAGTGCCAGATGTATGGCTGGTGTAGCTGAGTGTAACAGGGTAACATGTTGGTTTAACCTGTATGTGTTTGCTATGTAATAGTTAACACAATTAACTACTGAGATCCACTAAACTCTTCAGTAAGAGCATTGTTTGTGCTGAATGGTGATGGCTTGGGCAGAAAACTTCAAGTCAGCAAGAGCTGTAATTGCTCAGCAGGTCTGAAAGGCAGATCCCTACCATTTTGTCACTAGAAATACGAAATCATGCTTGTTTTCAATTTGAGTAGGATGTGTGAAGATTTGAAAGGACTGTCCTTAACATCTTTTTTTTCCAGAAATTAGACTTTGCAAACAATGTCCAGCTGTCCCTGACTCTAGCAGCCTTATCGCTGGGTCTCTGGTGGACATTTGATCGTTCAAGAAGTGGTCTCGGACTTGGAATTACGATAGCCTTTGTAGCAACTCTGATAACCCAGTTCCTTGTATATAATGGTGTTTATCAGTAAGTTATGCTTTAAAATGGTATTTCAACTTTCTTGTCTTAATTAAAGTAGGGGGTGCACAGGTATTGCAAACTACTTATTAACATATTTGGTGTGTCCTTGTAAGGCATCTTATATGTCTAAGGCAGCTAATTGTCGTGCTGTTGTAAATGATGGCATGGAGGGGAGGGGGGGCAGACTGAGCTGTTGTCATTTCACCATATACCCCAACAAACCAACCTTCTCCTGACTTGGTGTATCACCAACTGGCACTCAGGAGAGGAGAATTCCTAAACCTTGCTGGCAAGGACATTGGCTAGTTAAAGCTTATAAGTTAAGAGACTTAATTTGGTCTCCCTGTTTCTGCTCCTATGTTTCTGTGTTGTTTGGGTCTGATGAAAAACTTAGATCATCTTTTTAACAGTACATAAAGTGATGATAACATGATAATACCTTGTCTCTTATTTCCTTTTGTTTATTAGGTATACATCCCCAGATTTTCTTTACATCCGTTCTTGGCTTCCGTGTATATTTTTCTCAGGAGGTGTGACTGTAGGAAACATAGGACGCCAGCTGGCTATGGTAACTACTGTATAATTAGCATTTCCTTTTAGCAGTCCAAATAACTTCTGTCTTTGTTACTCCAAGAACAAACTATGCCTTTAAGGGTATGACTCACAGATCGGGAGATTAATACCTATCTTCCCAAGAGCTGAAATGTAAACATGCAACCTGTGTTACCAGTGGAGTGGGAATTGTCTTAGCAAGTGTTTGAGTATGTTCTGTGTGAAACTTTTTCCAGCAAGAGCCTAAATGAGACCGGATCCAGTTAATTTAACTTTTCCTACATAACTGCTTTATCCTGGAAACCATTCAACCATTCTACTTCAAGTAGCTTAGGTGCCTTCCCTTTTCTCTGAAGGAAGGGCCTTGATAGACTTAGGAGCTCCTAAACTAAAAGTCTCTCCAAAGCTGTCTAGTAAAGGGGAAAGCTGTTTTTAGGGACTGAACTACAAATGAGCAAAAAGGCCAGGCAGCAGTTAGCTGTCTTGCCTCGAACAGGCTTTCTGTCCCTTCTGCCTAACCTTTCTAACCCAGGGCGTAGACACCAATGTACTTCTGATGTGGATGGTCAGAACTTGATACAGCAGATGGACCGGCTTGCAGCCAAGCTGGGGGGAAAAAGCCACATTGCTTGACCACCACTGATTAATTTCTGTAGTACTGATTCTCAGTTTCACTACATTAACAGTTACCCCTAGTAGAAAAAGACTGGGGGGTAGGGGGAAGGCATTGGCAAGTCTGCCTGGTTTAAATAGTTTTCTTCTAAAAAATTATTTCCTGATATAACTTGGTATCAAGCCAGATCTCCCAGGACCTTAGTCAATGTCTTAAAACTTCATTTTTTTTTTTCCCTGATGTTCTTTAAAGTATAAGTTCATTACTTCCACTTCAAATCCCAGCAGTACATGCAATCTGCATGTGCTTTTTTTCCCTTAGGACTAAGTGTATGGGGGAAGAGAAAGGTAGAATTTTTTTTAAATAAAGTATATCAGTAACTTTTTTCCTCTCAGCTTGATGAAACCCAACATTTCATAGTTTGATTTCTGAAGAGAAGGTGAAGGTGCTGCTGCAGCTCTTGCTGCATGTTGATACCTAAAGCTGCTCCTCCATTACTCATCAGCTGGATTAGATGGAGGGCAATACATCATCTTGAGTTGTAACCATCATTCTCAGCATCTGGCAAACTAGGGTTGTCTCAAGAACACCCACCTCACAAATATTTGTTTGCTACTGCTTGGGGGCTGTGGAACTGTGCACATGTTCAATACTTGGACTTCTGTATTTTCTCAAGAGAATGAAGGAGAACTTACAAGCTCTATTTTAAATAAGTTGTTTAAATGCCTTTTTAAATTGATGTACGAGGGTATCACACTAGAAAAGGAGCTTAGGAGGAAATGAGCAAGTCTATCTGATACTAGGCTTTGCAGGGAAAATCCAGTAACTTTTGCTTGAAGTCAGCTTGAAAATGAAACATTAAAAATGAAACAAATGTCCATTAAGTGAGTGCTGTGCAGCGCCTGCAAATAAATATCCTGAGATAGGAAGGCTGAAAAAGTCTTAACCTGTCTACCAAGCCTAATTCTTTTCATCAAATGAACAAATTGAGGCAGCACAAAACTATGGTGACACTTCTGTCCACAGTTAAGGAGTACATCCTTGCTGGGATTTTACAAGAAGCTGTGTCTGCTAGGTCACTGTCAATTTGACTAAATAGTCAACTAACTTTAGTTATTGAAAATATTGCATAACATGTAACTTCTTACATGGTACTAAAATATACTTTCTGTTGTTCTTTTAATCCATAGGGTATTCCAGAGAAACCACACAATGACTAAATCCTTGGAGGAGAGAGCATGGTGCCAGCGTGAAAGCAACATTGAGAAGATGTGTTCCTGTTTTAAATTGAAGATTATTTAGAGAAAATAATCTCTCTATGGGCTCACTGCACAAATGACTTGTGGAAAAAAAATTAATCCACTCTTAGAATAGCCAAGTGAAATTAACTGCTTATCTTGAAATCTTACCCTGATTTACTGCATAAGCATTTGCATATGGCTGTTCTCTCGAAGAGTTTAACACCAAGTTGAATACAAGCATTCAGGCTAAGTGGCAGTTTTCCAAGTATTAGATTCCAGTGTAAGTTATTGAAGCAGCTGCCACATCTTAAAGCCTTGAAACAGAAATTTAATTACAAGCGCCTGTATCAGTGCCCAAAGGAAGTAGATCGATGGTGCTTAACAATGATGAAGTATGGTTTAATAGGAATAGTATTTATCCAAATCTTTTAAAAAAAAGTATAGGGTTATTTAAAAATAAGAGTGATCAAAACAGATTAAAGGCATTGCACTAACGCTTTTAGGAGTCTTATGAAGGAATCATGCCCTTACCTGTAATGCTGCATTAAGTTTGACTTTAGCAGTGGAGGGGGTTTGAGGGACAAAAGGCTTGAAGTCACCTGGCTGGGAAATTTCTAAATTACTTCAGTACAGTAGGTGAATGCTGGAGACAATCTTGTTCCAACATGAACTTTATCAAGAAACTCTAGCTTGAGCAAATCTCGTTCTGGCCCAATTCAGTAGGAAAGTGTTTGTAAGTGTTCTGCTTAAAAGTATGCATGTGCTTCAGTGTCTCACCAAAGCTGCCTTCAGGTGTCTTAAATGTGTGGTGTCACTGAAGATACCTGCATTGCAGGTGCTTGTGGTTAGTGAGGATGTGGTCCCAACTCCTCAGAAGATCTGTAGTTTCCTCCTTACAGCTGTTTTTGATCTTGCATCTGTTTGAGTGAGGGTTTTGACTAAAAACATTGGAAACAGAAGCAAGCCTAAAATGTGACTTAAACTGCATGTGAAGAATTTTGAACAGCTTGTTTCCTTAATTCAGTTTATGAAAGAGATCACTACTTGTTTTTATCACAACCCTATAGAACTTGCAATCTGTGATTGCCATGTGTAAAAAAAGGAAAGAAAAAAGTGCTTATGTCACTACATTAAACATTTGGTGTTTCTTAATACATAGTTCTGTGAGCACAATGTATTCGTTTGATAGCTTAGACCACAGTAGACCTAAATAGCAAGTATTAGGTCTTAAAATTGAAGTGCAATGTACAGTAAAAATCTGAGCCTTGTATTCTCTTACATAGCGATCATTTCTTATGACAGATTAAAGAGAAGAAGGTTCTGAGTTCATTTCAATGCTGCATGGAGTCAAATGGAGCAATAATTTATTTAACTAGTAATAGTAAAGCTAGTTTTGTTGTATCTTTCATCAAACCCAGATTTTTAGAAATACTCCAATTTTGTGGTTATGGTGTACTTGTAAACTTTTATGCATTTGCCTTTTTGTATTCTACATTTTTCGTGTGTGTTTGTTTCCACTCTTACATGGCTTCTGATGTAATTAGAGGCATCTGTTAAAGACTGACCCGTCAAAAAAAGATGTTGAGGCAAGGTAGCAGCATCCTGGCTGTTTTCACTCTTCTACGGGAATGCTCTAACTGCTGCTTGTGCTTCTGTTTTGGAGGAAGAGATTAGCACAAAGACGGTATTACAAAACAGCCCCCAATTCTAATCTTGCTTTGGTGTGAATTGAGTAATTTCACTGGCATAAAATCCTTTTCTCAACTGCTTAAAACCTAAAAATATAATCATATAAGTCTTCAGATCAGGACTGGATCAGCTCAGATACTTTAAGTGTGCTACCTGCTGGAGAGACAGTTTTGAAACCATCTTAAAACTATTTCCAAAACTTCATAAAACTGGATATAAGATGACTGATCTCTACGTATATTTGATTGATAAAGTATTTAAGATTTATTTGTAAAGCCTGAAGCTAGATCTGTATGTGTTAAAAATAACGCAGCCAAAAAATGTAAGTCAAAAGTTCATTTTTTGCCAATACTTAGAGGTACCTGAACCAAAGTGATTTAAGTTTGGAAGAGGTGGGAGGGGAGTGAAGAAAATTTGCACTATGCTGAATTTGAACACTTAAATTCTCATTCTTACTGATAAGTTTTCATTGGTGTGTTTGGTTTTACACTTTTTTTACTATTAAAGTTCTACGATCAAGTCACGTTTGCCATGGGTTCTCTGTATTCACATTATGCAGGAATCTTTCTTGAAAAGGACAGTTGTTATGGTTGCATAACTAACAGTCAGTCATGCATACTCAGTGGTATTAAAAAAAAAAAAAAAAGAAAATAATAATCCTAAACTGAATTTATAAGATTTAACTTTTAGAAGGTTTTCCAGCGTGAATTATAGGGTTTAAGAGAAACAGTTTTGCTATTTTGCCAAGTGACATAAGCGTGTGTTACTGCCAGGTGAATTAGGGTACAGAATGCTATTACCATTGTCTTCCAAGATACTCAAGTTCATAATCTGAAATAAAATACGGAGGGTGCGGGGTAAACATGCTACGTCTTGCAGCTTGGTTGTCTGCAGAGATGTATCACTAAATGCCAAAGCATCTTACAGCGCACACAGCAAGGAGGAGTAAGCACGGCTGGTAAGGCTAAGTGCTGCTGAGGCTTGCACCATCTGATTTAGGAAAGATAACATCTTGATAACTTAAACAAAGATTTTGATTTTACTTTACCCAAGTGCTTGTTTGGGGCTTCTAGAAGCTGCTGTGTTTGTAGGGGAAGCAGTAGAATGGTTTTGTGATCAATCTTTGTCCACTTCGCTGCAGTCTGTTGGCTTAGCTTGAGCAGCCTTCATGATGAGGTTCCTAACTGCTTTGGCATAGCCAGCCTGCCTTCTGTTCAGCGTAACTCTGCTGCACAGCTGCTGAAGCAGTAGCCAACATCTCCGGTCTGAGCATGGCTTGGATCCTCCAGGTGCGTTGCTTTCCCCTCAAACTTCTTGAGCTTTGTCAGAAGGAATTAAAAAACATGCACAAAAAGATTTGGGATGTAGCCTGGTGCCAAAGAGAACTAGGACATCTGACTGAGGGTCTCTCTTTGAGACAGGGAAGTGTGCCCAAAATTTCTACGTGGAGAAAAAAAAAATATATATATATATATCAGTCTTGCCAGAAAGTGTGATGATTTGGCCTGTGTTTAGTTCCTGCACACTCATTCTGTGGGTTATTCAGCCTTTGGTTTTAAGCGTGGGGATTTGCAGGTGCTAAATTAGCCACAGGAGGGCCCATAGACTGTTCGCTGAATGCAGCAGGAACATATTGAGGTGAATAATGAAATTAAGTCTCAGTAGCCTTGCTGCACAGCAGAGGAGCTCCAAAATTCATGAGAACAAAGCATTACATGCAGGACTAATTGGACAAAGCATACTTCTATGGAAAAAATCATTAAGGGTTCTACCTCGGAAGCTTTTGAGGGGTGTCTGTCTCGAGGGGACACAGCTGGAGAGGTCCCTCCAGCGAAGGGGCCAGGACAGCATCCTAAAAATAATGGTGATTTCCTTGGGTAACAAAGCACCACGTGAGTTGCCCCGCCTCACGTTGTCATCCTTTCCCTGCTTTTAGCTTTTAAATCCTGTTGTGCAATGACATTTTTCTGTCTTCGCAGGCTACAAATGCGGGTTGTGATGACAGCTTAATAACAGCGGGGTGAGGAGAGCAGTTTTATTGCACAGCTGCGTGATAAGGAAGGCGGTAGGTTGTAATCGTGCTGCTGGTTAACCCTCAAAGACAGAATTCAAAGGACGTGTGATAATTTCTGTAAATAAAGCATCGCTGCTCAAGGAGTCCTAAAGGGTCAGAGCTTATGAGTTCAGCTCAGTGAGGTTCCCCCAGCTGTAAATCATGTTTTCTCTCCTATGGTAAGTCATGTCTAGGTGGTTTCAGAGCCCGGTTACATTAAATAGCAGGCAAGTGCTGCAGAAATTCCACCAACTTGTTACATATCCTGTAGTAATGACAGCAGATCAGCATTTTTACATGGAAATCAAACACGGCTGCCCTGCTTCTCCTGGGCTTGGTGCTGGGAAGGGGAGCTCCAAGCTCCCTGACTCCTACAGCACGTGGTCCAGGGGGTTCTTTGCACCGGTGTTGTTTTCTGATTCATCAAAAGCAGCTGAGCAGCTCATAGCTTCAGAGTAGCTCATAGGTGACTTCACAGGGGTCAGATTTATTAGTCCTGAGTGGTTTTAGCCTTGGGTTCTTCAGGACAAGAGCACTGGTGTTTTGAATTGCAGTGTACCCAAGAGACATGAGAAAGCCTCAGATCGGGTGTCTTGGGACCACCACAGCTTGGAGGAGACTGACTCCTGCCATACAGAAAGGCCCTCAGCCAGCTGGGGACATGCCCAGCAGTACCTACAGCCCCTCCTGCCGTCACCAAGGGGTTGTGGCATGTGTGTGATTGAGCAAGGGGCTCGTGATCCCTCTGGGGACAGGTGGAGTTCTTAAACCTTGGACCTGGACACAAAGGAGATGTTATGTTAACATCAGAGGTCATTTGGGAGCAGGAGGCAGTGAGATCACTGAGAAGTCACTGCTTTTGTGAGGGCAAGGCTATTATTATTATTATTATTATTATTATTATTATTATTATTATTATTATTATTATTTATTATGATAAGCTGCCCAGAAATCCCAGTGAAGCCAACAGAGACATGAGGCAGAATTCCTCCTGAGCTAGGGAAGCATCACCAGAAACACCCCCTGCTGCCTTGCCCAGCATTAGGAAAACAGCTCCCAAATAAAACTTCAAGGGCTGACTTGTGCAACGGAGATCTTGTTGGGGCAAGCAGAGCGCATCCGTTTCCATGCTGAGCTGTGCAGCAGTGAACTTCTTTGCAAGCTCTGCTTTTAAATATTTTTCCTTTCTGGAAAAATATATTTTTTTCCAGAAAAATATATATTTTTTCCTTTTCTTTACGGAGCTGTGCTCGCAGAGGCAGCAGCAACCTTAGGGGGAGAGCAGGGAGGTCAGGTCTAAGGGCTGCATGTCCCCTACTGGCAGCCTCGGTCATGTTTAAAGCCACTGAGCAATCGTCCTACCAAAGCTCCTGTAGGTCACCTTCAAACATCTTGCTGAAGGCTGTGTCAGAACGGGTTGAGAAAGAGTGAATAAAAACATCAGGAAAAGAGCTCAGATTTTTACCAGATTTCTTCTTCTTACATGCAGAAAGCCCTTGCTATCAACAGGACAGATCCTAGGGTCTTTGCTTAGTTTTTACTTTGTCTTTACTCAAACACCCTGCAGAGCTGCTGGGGTGAAAGTCTTACCATGGTACAAATTAGTTCTTACTCAATACGTACTTAAAGAAACAACCCGGAGACTAATAATTCTCTCGTCAGGCCCCGGTTGTGAAACACGGGCATCTGCCAAGAGTTTTGACGCCCTAGGTTATGGAAGGCAAACCCACGGGGCTGAGAGGTTTGGCACAGGAGACCCACAGCCTCCGAGAGCGGCAGCTGAAGGCCACGCAGAGGACGTGGGACATTTTGGGTGGCACAAGTCTTCAGCTTTGAATCCCAGCATCACTACCCACTAATGCACAAGCCAAAGATATCGACGAGCACTTAAGAAGAGAAATACCAGCGCTTCAGGATCGTGCCCAACAATTAAATGTTGGAAGTAGACCCCGAAGCCAACAGCACGCAGATATCCTATATAGCGTCATCACCCCCACCACCAGCAGTCGTGGGAAGGAGTCAGGAGAGGGAAGTCTAAATGCAAAGTTACGAGGTTGCTAGAACAACCAGCCCCACACAGGGGCCGGCGAGTGAATCCCATCATATCGGCAGTGGGATTTGGGGAGAGAACAGCTGCATTTGCCTGCCTGCTCCTTGGGCATGTTCCACCTGCTTAATTGAGGGCAGGTCCAAATGAGCCATCTGTTGACCTGGTTGAGGAATCAGAGTTTGCCGTTAATTTGAAGATATTTTTACAAAGTTATTAAAGACCTAGAAGGAATGGAGAGACGAGTAAAAAATGAAGGTAAGAAGCTTTGCCTTGGAGGCACAGGTAATATCTGTAACAGATGCTACACCCTATGCCTAAGCTAATTGTTAAATGAGTCACCCTGGCAAAAGAAGCATTAATAAAGGGAAGCGAAGACTGAACATCTGGAAAATAATATGAAAGGAAAGAATTTTCATATTTTGGAACTCCTTGCTGGGTGGGAACTGCTTGGGGAGATGGCTCTAATTGCTTGTCTGAGAGAATGAGAAGTGAGGCTATTCCCAGCCCGCCGTCAGCACAGTCGCTGCCTGTTCCTCCCTGCTCCCTCGCCCCAGCGCTGCAGTAACAATGCAGGGCCCCGACCTGCAGGGGCTGAGACGTGCTCTTCATCTTCTGCACCTCTCCTGGACAGCGATGTGGGCCTGCAAAATGTGCACCCGCCTCCCCAGGACTTGGTCCAGGCTGAGGAGAAGCTGGTGTGAGCAGCCGAGTGCTAGAGCTACAATCGAAACAAGGTGGTTCGGTGGCACCCGGGTCTTGGTGCTGATGAGTGTCGGCCAGGATTCATTTTGCTGCCCCCTCTGTTTGTTTGGGGCTATCTTGGCCATGGCCATGTGGTGGGCTTGGAGAACATCAGCCCTTCTGCTGCCTGCTTTGTGCATTTTTGCTGGGTACGGGGAGCTGAAGACATGGGCAGGTTTCTCCCAACACGTTTCCCTGCACACACCTCCGAGGAATGATTCTCCCACCTTTCCTCCATTTGGACTTCTTGCTCTTTGATTATCTTGCCTTTTCTTTCAGTCTTTCCTTCTTCCTCGTGGGAGAAGTCCCTTCACCAAACACCCTCAGGTAGCCCTGGGCAGCTCCTGGGCAGGAGCTCTGGAGCATCACCCCGAGAGGACACCGCAGGTCGGCAGCTGGAAAATGGAGAAAGAAGAAACACTGAGCAAGGGCTCAGCACCAAGACAGGAGACCTGCATCTCTCATTTCAAAGAGACCATTGTTTTGCTGCACAAGCCCTGCTGTCTGATGCAGGAACATAAAATGCAAGCAGTTTGATCTACTTTTATAAATAGAGAATAAAACCCACTCAACCGCTCTCCAAACATGATGCTGCTCCCAGCCCTAGCGTGGAGGCACCACCAGTGGCACGTCAAGCCCTCTGGAGCTTTTCTTTCCAACCCCAAAAAGGGAATGGAAGAGTTTTTCAGTATTTCATGTTTGTGTTTTTCTAGATAAAGGTGCAGAACCGAGCAGGGGTTGGATACCCTTCTGCTGGGTGCCCGGTGTGCCCCAGCTCTCACCACGCTCTGGTTCCACCGGAGGGAGGACAGCGTTGGGTGGGTATTTCTCCTTAGATGAACGCAAAACCATCACTAACCAGTGACCCCAATCAGCTTTTTCCCAATTTTCTTCCAGAATACTCATGCAAGAGAATCAGTTTTGCAGGAAGGGTGATGGGAGGGGTTGAACAGGACAAGCTGGCACAGGGACGTGGCACCAACCCAGGGGCAGGGCGTTTGCCGCGATGCCGTAGCGCAGTGCTCGGGAGGGACATTGGGGTTAGGACTGGGACAAGCAAGGACGCAAAGAAGGGTCCCCAGGACCATGGTGTGGGTGTGAGGAATGGAGCTGGTGATGAAGGGCACCTGGACACCAGCCCTGACCCCTTCCTTAGCAGCATGGGCAGGCAGAGGCTGCAGCACACGAGGGTGCGCCGGGGGGCTGCGGCCGGGCACGTGCGTTCCCGAAGTTGCGCGCAAGGATCCTAAAACGTAATTATGAAATTTTAAAAAACAACTTGACGTTATAATTATAACGGTTCCTGGAGGAGCCGCGTAATTGAATTCTAGGGTGTCTCGCTCTCATTGCAGGCGCTAACAAGAGAGCGGCTCAGCTTCCCTCGCAGCCTTCCCGGAGCCCGGCAAAGCTCGGGAGACACCCAACAATTCAATTATTGTTTCCCCCTGGAAAGCAGATCATTTTAGACACGCGGCCAGCTCTAATTACAAAGGAGAGGGGGGAAATTTCTCGTGTCCAAAATTATTTGACTCATTAAAAGGGTTTATTTTCCACGAGGCCTAAAGCAGGGATGGAGGGACGGAGCGAAGGCAGGGCAGAGCCTCAGCATCATCCCTGGGGCCTGTGCTTGAGGCTGAGCCCCCCACAGCCCTCTTGTTCCCCCAGGTGAGGCCTCTTTCAAGGCAGAAGGAAAAGCAGGGCCACATGAGGAGGTGCCCACAGGATCCACTTCCACAGCAGAGCAGGAGGCTTCACCTGGGCAGCAGGCGAGCAGAGCTGCTGCCCTTGGTGGGGACGTGGCACAAGGACATCCCTGCTCCCTGCCACCCTCAGCAGTAAAAGCACAAGGCCTTTTTTTTTTTTTTTTCCCAGATTATTTTTAAATGTTCTATTGTGAGGAAAGACTATCTCATGTAGGGGAGGTCCCTTTTCCAATTACCATTAATTAACTCATCTCTAATAGATTTTTTAGAGCCCTCCATTTCCCGTGGCCATGCCAGGGCGGCGGGCGGGAAGCTGAGCTGCTGCTCTGCCCCAGGATGGATCAGGCTGCCCCGAACCTCCCCGAGACAACACTTTAAAACATTTCCATACCTATTTTCTTTGACTTTTAATGTAATTTATAATTTGTAATTATTTCTTTACAAGCCCTACTGGGTGATGCTTCTACCTTGCGTGTCCGTCTCAGGCAAGGGGGAAGCGATGCTGGGTGCTGGCTCCCACCCACCCTCCCGGGACCACCCTGTCCCCCCACCCCAAATCCTCCTCTTCCCTGATTTCCAGAGTGAAGAAATTAATTCTGATGTGATGTTTATGGTTAATTTGAAGTCTAGCACTTGTTAGATAATCCTGTTAGTAGCTTGCGAAAACAAGGGACCCCTTGTATAATCAGTAATTATAACAGGCGTTTTATGTTAAATCATATCTAATAGGCAGGACAAAAAGGAAAATATGTTTTCGGCTTGAGCCTTGGCGGTCCAGAAGGAAGAGGAGCCTGCACTGTGCAGAGAACTTCGTGAAAAATGTACATCTTGGGGCGGGGAATAAAAGAAAAGATTTGGGGATTTCCGCACCAGGATATTGGGGAGCTGGATCAGTGGGACTGCCCTTGCACCATCGAGGGGAAGGAGAAGTAGAGGTTAGAGGCAGAGGTAGAAGTTAGAAGTAGAGGTTGGAGGTAGAGATTAGAGGTAGAGGTTAAAGGTAAAGTTTAGAGGTTGGAGGGTAGAGGTAGAGGGTAGAGGTAGAGGAAGAAATGAAAGGAAAAGGGAAATAGAAAGGGAAAGGAAAAAGAAAGGGGAAGGGAAAGGAGAAGGGGAAGAAGAAGGGGAAGAAAAAAATGAAATAAAGAAAAAGGGGAGGAAAAAAGGGAAAGGGGTAAAGGAATAGCACCTGGGCAGCCTGGCTCCATGCCGATGGGGTGAGTGCGAGCCCTGCAGCCCCTTTGCACCTCACCACCAGGTAAGGAAAAGAAAACGTGGAGGGCGGAGGCAAACGCAAAGCCTCCATAAAGCCTTGAAATAGGATAGAATAAAATGGAAGAGAATGAAATAATATGAAATAATATGAAATAATATGAAATAATATGAAATAATATGAAATAATAAAATAAAATAAAATAAAATAAAATAAAATAAAATAAAATAAAATAAAATAAAATAAAATAAATAAATAAAATAATAAAATAAAATAAAATAAATCCCCCCAGCCTCCCTCCGTCCCGCGCATCTTCCGCGCATCCCCCGCCCGTGCCCGCGCTGTGCCCGGGGGGTGCCGAGAGCTCCTGCCCGGGGGTGCCGTGGCCACAAAGCCGCTTTTCGTCCGGCCGCTGGGTTTGCAGGTCGGAAGGGCTGGCTGAAAATAAAGCAAACCGCTGAAAATAGCGGCGTGGCGCTCGGGAAACGAGCTGCAATGAAAGGCAACGAAAGCCCGAAGCCGGGCGGGCTGGAGCCCGAGGTTCTCGGCAACTTTTTTTCAGCCTGAAATTTCGGCTTTCCTTAACCCCCCCCCCCCCCAAGCCGTGGCGCTGTTTACCCACCCGAGTTATTGTAAATACGTTTAGCCAAAGAGGCTCTGGAAGAAATCTCGCTCCACCACCGCGCAACCCGGTCCCTCGGACGTGTGCGGGGGCAGAAAATCTAATTAAAAGCTAATAGGAGCCGCACGGGGGGTTAATTCGGCGGGGGGCGAGGAGCAAATGTTTGAGCAGGGGAGCGCTAACACCCAGCCCCCGTGTGCAAGCAGAGCGGGGCGGCGGGAGCCACCCCCCTTAGTTCCAATTTTTGAGCCAGAAAATTAAAAACAAATATTTAAAGTCGGCGCTTCGGAAGTTTTAGCGTGCTCGGTGAAGTGAAGGCGCTCGGCCGGGCGGCCCGGGGGGGGGAAAGGCTCCCGGGGGGCTGTGGGGAATTGGGGGGAGTCCGAGGGGACACGAGGGGAGATGGGGGACGAGATTATAGGGAGATGAGGGGGAGATGAGGGGGAGACGTTTCCTTGGCTCAGCTTCGGGGGCTGTGCAGCCCCTCGGAGACCTGGGGGGTCCGGGCTGGGGGCTAAGAGAAGGGATGGGGAGGTGAGGGGGAAGGGAAAAGGGGAAATGGGAGGAAGGGGAAGAAATAGGGGAAGGGGAAGGGAAAAGGAAAGGGGAACGGAAACGGAAAGAAAAGAAAAAAGGAAAAAAAAAAGGAAAAAAGGAAAGAAAAGAAAAAGGAAAAAAATAGGGAAAGAGAAAGAAAAAAAAATGGGGAAGAGGGAAAGAAGAAAGGAAGGAAAGGAAAGGAAAGGAAAGGAAAGGAAAGGAAAGGAAAGGAAAGGAAAGAAAGGAAAGGAAAGGAAAGGAAAGGAAAGGGGAAGGGAAAAGGAAAAGGGAAAGGGAAAGAAATTTAAAAAAAAAAAAAGAAAGAAAAGGAAAAATAAAAGAGAAAAAAAAGAAAAAGAGAAAGAGAAATAAAGAAGAAGAAGAAGGAAGAGGAAAAAAGTTAAAAAAAAAAAGAGGAGAAAGAGGGAAAAAAAAAAAAAAAAGAAAGAAAAGAGGGAAAAATAAGAAAAAGAGAAGGAAGCAAAAGCAAAGCCGCGGAGCAGGGCGGGCAGCGGGGCGGTGCAGGCGGCGGCCGCGGGGCAGAGCCGGGGGCTCGGGGCGGGCCCGCTCCGGGCGGGCGGCGGCACCCCCGGTCACCGCCGTGCCCGTCACCGCCCCGCTGTGCCCCTCTTCTCCTCCTTTTCTTTCTCTTTCATTTTTTTTCTTTTTTCCCCCCTTTTTTTCTCCCCTTTTTCTTTTATTATTTCCCCCCTTTTCCTCCTTTTTCCCAATTTTTACCTTTTTTTTCCCTCTTTTACATTTTTCCCCCCATTTCTTTTTTTTCAATTTTTCTTTTCTTTTCCCACCGCGAATTCATCACCCGAGCCCCATTTTCTCCGCAAAAACACATTATAACGAGCCCGGCACGCAGCGAGCTCCCCAGCCTTGCCGCGGCTTGTTGCGGGGCCGTCTCCCACCTCCCCATTTCGTGAATTTTTGGGGGGATGCTCAGCACCGTGTCCCACCAGCTGCCCTCCTCTCCGCTCGCTGGTGAAGTTTGTGCAAGTTATTTTTGTTGCTCTCCTCCAGACAAAATAATGTCTGCATTATTTTGGCGGGGGCAGTTTCCGTGTGGCACAGCCTGCCTCTCCTCCGAAAATAAAGGAGAAAAAAATCAAAAGGAAAAATAAAAACCAAAACCAAAATAATAATAATAATAAGAAAAACTCTTGGCGTTTATCCTCAGCTCCTGCCGCTGCTCGGTAAGGTTTAATTGCAAAACTGAGCCGAGATGCCAGCCGGTATCGGTCATTAGGAACCTTTCTTAAAATCTTGTCAGCCTGCAATGAGACCCAGATTTCATGGAGGCAACCACATACCTCCTGGGCTGCCAGCTGAAACTGAGACCATGCAAAGGAGGATAGAAATGCCAAATAAGCCACCACCTTCCCTTCCTAGCAACCAACTCTTTAAATTTATTGCTTTTTTTCTTTTCCTCTTTTTTTTTTTCCTCCCTTTGAGGAGCTGGGCAGGATCTTTATTTTTCAAAGGTGCTTTGAGGAAGAGGGGGGGGGGGGGGGAGAAACAAGTTTGGCCCCGGGGGTTTCGCTTGGGTCGGTTTTTGGCTTTGTGGGTCGGCTCCAGGGGGGAAGAGGCGGTGAGAGATGGAGGCGGCCGAAAAAGCCCCTCGGCTCCCCGGCCCCCTCCCGGCCCCCCCCGACCCGGCTGTCCTTGCAGCGAGGGGACGCCAGGGGGCAAGAGGCGTTCACAAAGCCGGCCTCCCTCCGCCCGTCCCTTCCCTGCCCTCCAGCCAGCCCTCCAGCCCTCCCGACGGGGTTTCAGCACCGCGCCACGGCAAAAAGTGGCGTATTTTTAAGAGAAAAAGGGAAAAGGATGAGAAATGAGAAAAGGGAGCGAGGCGGAAAGAAAGGAGGGAGGGAGATAGAGAGGGAAAGAGGGAAAGAAGGAGAGAAAGGAGAAAGAGAGGAAAGGAGAAAGAGGGGAAAGGAAAGAGAAAGAAGAGAAAGAGAAAGAGAAAGAGAAAGAGAAAGAGAAAGAGAAAGAGAAAGAGAAAGAGAAAGAGAGAAAGAAAGGAAGAAAGGAAGAAAGGAAGAAAGGAAGGAAGAAAGGAAGGAAGAAAGGAAGAAAGGAAGAAAGGAAAAGGAAGAAAGGAAGAAGAAAGAAAAGAGAGAAAGAGAGAAGGAAGGAAGGAGGAAGGAAGGAAGGAAGGAAGGAAGGAAGGAAGGAAGGAAGGAAGGGAGGGAGGGAGGGAGGAAGGAAGGAAGGAGAGAGAGAAAAGAAAGAAAGAGAAAGAAAGAAAGAAAGAAAGAAAAGAAAGAAAGAAAGAAAGAAGAAGAAAGAAAGAAAGAAAGAAAAAGAAAGAAAGAAAGAGAAAGAAAGAAAGAAAGAAAGAAAGAAAGAAAGAAAGAAAGAAAGAAAGAAAAAGAAAGAAAGAAAGAAAGAAAAGAAAGAAAAAGAAAGAAAGAAAAAGAAAGAAAGAAAGAAGAAAGAAAGAAAGAAAAGAAAGAAAGAAAGAAAGAAAAAGAAAGAAAGAAAAAAGAAAGAAAAAAGAAAGAAAGAAGAAAGAAAGAAAGAAAAGAAAGAAAGAAAGAAAGAAAGAAAGAAAGAAGAAGAAGAAAGAAAGAAAGAAAAAGAAAGAACACCACACCCACAGCCGCCCGCCACCCGCCCCCCCCACGCCACCCTCCCAGCCCAGACATCCCGCCCCAATCACCTCCCCCAGCCCTCACCTCCCGCACACTCCCCCCAGCCTCCTCCCGTCCCTCCTCCCTCCCGCACTCCACTCCAAAGAAAGAAAGAAGAAAGGAAAAAGAAGAAAGAAGAAAGAAAGAGAAAGAAAGGAAAGCAAGCCACCCACAAGGCAGCACACATTTCCAGTCCCCCACCTCACCCACCCCTTGGGCACAGCCGCAGAGGACACCGAGCAGCGCTGCTGCCACCCGCATTCACAGCACCCGTATTTAGGGGAGGCAGCCAGGGCCCCACTCACCTCACCACTGCCTGGCCCTGGTCCCGTCCCCCCGTGCACCCTAAGGATGGTGCCGTGGCCCCCTCGGCTGGGGGAGCTCCCTCCCGTCCATCCCACGGGGCTCGCAGCCTCCAAAGGAAATCACTCAAGGGAAACTTCACCGGAGACAAAACCACAGGCAATTTCCTGACTACTGCTTTCCTCCCCAGGTTATTTATTTTGGCAATCACGCGCTCAATAAATGAAATATTCAATCAACTGACCTCCTCGCCAGCTCCTACGATTCTTTCAGGATCCCCTTTATTTTATTATTAGGATCTTGTTGTTTAAATAAACTACAGGGAGGGTTCCCGGTTCCCGGCTTTGCTTGGCAACTGGTGCATTACGCTGCTTATGAATTTTGCAGACAATGAACCCCAGTGTGGATGAAGCGGACCGTACACATGTACATGCCATTTCCCGGGCACGTCAGACATTCAAGCAAAGTATTGCTTATTCGCTCATCTTTTCACACCTTCTCCTTTCCCAGACTTTGCCCCAAATGCCCGAGAGTTGGGGTGTGCAGCTAATGCCAGAGATTTCGCTGAGGAGACAGAAACCTCTTAAAATAATCAGATGGCAAAATACCAGGCTCACCCCCGAGAGCAGCATTTGTAATGCTCCTGCCTGGCATTTTATTCCCTGCTTTATCTCCCTGTATCACACAAATCCATACACTGTGTATCATTCCTCTTTGAAATGCCATGAACTTGGTGTTTTAAATCAAACCAGCCTTTCTTTTTTTTTCATTTCTTCCTATTTTTTTTTATTATTATTTTTTTTTTAGCTGCAAAACAATGGAGATTGTCAAAGGGCCTCGGGTTGAGCTTTTCTGCGTGTTCACAAAGCGTTAAAGCTTTATCGAACAAACCGGCTCTGTCTGACCCCTGCCAGACAAAAGGCAACTTCCATTTCCCTCGGTGGCGGAGGAGAGGGCAGCGGGGATGGAGGGGATGTGCAGTGGGGACAGAGGGGACATGTAGCACACCCAGGGACCCTGCGGTGCCCAGTGGTGCTGCTGGGGTGCCCCATGCCCCATGTGGTGGGGGACACGGTGCCGAAGCACCCAGGGGAGCAGCAGCCCCACGTGCCAGCACCTGTTGGTGGCTCGGCTGCAGCTTTTGGGTGGTGCTGGGCTGCACCGAGCTGGGCTGTGCCCCCCTGAGCAGTGCTGTGAATAAACAAAATAGTAAAATTTTTTGCCATGGTTCACCCTGATGAGCTATTGATAGATACCAGCTGGTATCCAGTGGTGGAGAATCACAGAACAGTTTGGGTTGGAAGGGACATTAAAGATCATCTAATACCAGCCCCCTGCCATGGGCAGGGACCCCTGCCACCAACCCAGGCTGCCCCCAGCCCCATCCAGCCTGGCCTTGGGCACTGCCAGGGATGGGGCAGCCACAGCTCCTTGGGGCAGCCTGGGACAGGCCTCACCTCCCTCATCATGAGGGATTTCTTCCTTATATCCAATCTAAATCTCACCTTTTTTAGTTTAAAGCCATTCCCCCTTGTCCTATCCCTACACCCCCTGCCCAAGAGTCCCTCCCCAGCTCTCCTGCAGCCCCCTTTAGGCCCTGGCAGGCCATTGTGAGGTCTCCCTGGAGCCTTCTCCTCTCCAGGCTGAACAACCCCAACTGCCTCAGCCTGGCTCCATGGCAGAGGGGCTCCAGCCTCTGAGCATCCTCGTGGCCTCCTCTGGACTCACCCCAAAAGTCCCTGTCCTTCTGGTGCTGGGGGCCCAGAGCTCCAGGTGGGGTCTTACAGGAGCAGAGCAGACAGGGACGATCCCCTCCCTGCCTTGCTGCCCACACTGCTGTTGGT